AATTGAAAACGCGCTCCTTCTACGTACGTTTCCGTTTCGGCTTATCGCTCAGGTATAAATAATAAGTATACAAATAATATATATAATATTTAACGAGTATAACTCTTTTTTTCTCTCTCTCTCTCTATATATATATATATAATATAAATCTATATGTCTGTGTGTCCGTGTATACATACAGGTATATAATTATATATATTTGTATAAAAAAAAAAAAGATAATAGGGAAAAACTAAACAGAAAAAAAAGGAGAATCTCGAAACGTGGCTACTATCCTTTTACTATTTTTTTTTTCTACTCTTCGTCGATTCGCTTCCTTTTCCATTTTCTTCTTTTAAAGAAATTATCGTAATCGTTCGATAGCATAAATATAAAACATATATATATATATATATATATATATGTACGTATATATATATATATATGACTTTTGGACGATTCGAACAAACTCGAATCGAACGATTCGATATTTTCTCTCGTTTCTCTCTAAAAAATACGCCTCCAATTGCCCTTTAGCAATCTTTTAATTAATAATCAACTAATTATTAATAATTAATAGCGATAATAGTAGCGATAATAGTAATAATAATGATAATAATAATAATAATAGTAATAGCAATAATAATGGCGATAATAATAATAATAATGGATTAATCGCGGATTATCAAAATGCTCGGACCGTTCGACGGATCGTCGCGTCGCGTTTTTCTCTCTTTTCCTTTTCTTTTTTTTTTTCCCCCTCCTCTCTCCCTTCTTTCGAGTACGATAAGTAATTTTCACGCGAGTAAAGAAAAGTGTTCTCTTTCGAGAGAAGAAAGAGATGTGAAAATCGATGTGATGATTTCTTCTCTCTTTCTTTCTTATCTTTCTTTTCTTTCTTTTCTTTTTCTTTTTTCAATCAAACGCGACCGACGATCCGTCCGAGTGCCCTCGCTGAGAAGCGTGAATGGGCAGGCATTTTTTACAAAATAGAAAAATAAAAAAAAAAAAAAACACGAAAGAACAGTAACAATTTATCATCGAAGCTTTCGAAAGATTCATTCGCACCGTACATCCATTTTTTAGGAATTTTTTATTTCTGAAAGAGTGTCGCTTTTTTTTTTTTTTTTCTCTCGCTTATACAAGGATCGATCGGACTTTGGCCGACTTTGTTTTGATACAACGAAAAGAGGCTACTCGCTTTTGTCAACAACGCGGATATTTTTTTTTCCTGTAATACGATCCCTCCGGCCCGTTCCTCATTCAGAATTCTTCAGATTTTTCTTTTCCCTTTTCTTCTCTATCCCTATGATAATTTTTTTCATATATATCCGCCAATTTCGATCGACAGGCTTTATTCATTCAAAACTCCTCGTCCCTCAACTCAATTTTTCTCTCCCCGAATATTTCTTTTCACGAGCCGATCGATCGAGTAACGATCGATTTCGATTCGATTCGATTCTCGCACGATCTCTTTTTTTTTTCTTTTTTCCTTTTCTTTCTTTTTTCCCCTCCCCCTCGCGCTCGAATACACTCGCGATTAAATAAGTACCGATTTTGCCAAACGAGTCAACTCGTCCACGGCTTTGTACCCTTTTTTGACTAGAATTGAATTTCGAATTGACGATCGGGAAACGAAATCAGGCTCTTTCTCTCCTTTCTCTTCTTTTTTTTTTTTTTCGTTTTTTTTTCTTTTTTTCCTTCCCTCCCCCCCTCCCCCCCTCTTTTGAAATCCCTTCGTCCGAATTGGAACGGGCCTGCGGAACCGGAAGTGCGTCGATATAATTTGCCCAAAAGGGGACTTCGACCAAACTCAATCGATACCATTAAACCTTGAGCACGCACATTTTCGTCGCATCGTGCTAGACAGCCGTTTTACCACCAATTGCTTCGCGGTTTCTCGATATAAGTTCTTTAATCAGAGACGATAGAAACGCGACGAAAACGGGCGCTGAAAATTAACAATAATCTTGCGCTTGCGTTGTAATACTCGATAATTGAACGTAAAAATTTGTCTGAAAAATTTCTCTTGAAAACTTAACTCGTCTGTTTTTTTTTTCTTTTTTTTTTCCATCGATAATCGACGTCAGCCGCGCCCTGCGTTTTCCTCTCGAGAAACGTTGTTCTTTTTTCTCTCTCATTTCTCGAACGTTCTCACCTCTTTCTTCTCACCGATTTCTTTTCTTTTTTCATTTTCTTCGATTTTTTCCTAAACGCGAATTTTCTCTTTTTTTGCAAATTTTTCTTCAACGGTGGAACGTTCGTTTTCCAAATCGTGGTATACGAAAAAGTAGATCCAGTAATTTTGATTTTAATTTTCGGTATATATCGAAAGCGAAGATTTTCAAATTTGTAAATTTTCCAAAATAAAGAAGAAATCACGGGTATCACGGACCGACGTCGAAACGAAACCCATATATAAATCGATAATAATCGCGAACAAATTTGAAACAATGCGTGTACACGTGAAACTGGGAGGGTTCTTTTTGGCTCTGAGAGGATTACCCGTGGGATGAGGAATTGTTGTGAATGGGTTTGATCTGTAGGATGGGTGGCGGGGTGTTTTGTATTGTGTTGAAAGCAACGTCATAAGTGAAGTTAACTGAACGCTGCACTTGAAAGACTAATGAAAAATTTGGGGGAAACTTGAACACGCGTCGCTTCGCGCCCCTCTTGTTGATCAAGCGATATACACGTGTATATATACATATATATAAATATATATATATATATAACGATACACGTTATTTCCAATTTTTCTTGATTTTTTTTTCTCCTTTTCTTTTCTTTTCTTTTCTTTTCTTTTTTTCTCCCTCCCTCGTTTTCGAAATCCATTCCATTGACCGATCAAGCAAGATCAATTTTTCCTTGTTTCGTCACGACAGAAGATATTTCTCATTTGATGATGTTCAAACGCGTGGCGACGCCCGTTCAAGCACCCTCCGATCCGCGTCCGAGTCCCACAGTCCTTCGCCTCGTCTCCGTAGTGAGTGCCTCCGCGATTTATCGAATAAACGCGACGGCTGTGTGCACGATCGCTGCCTGTCCTTAGAATATATAGAGTCGAGTACGTTTAATTAATAATTATGCGTGTATGCGTTACGGTTAACTGTTAATTAACTTGACTTGACAAATGGTTACGGTACTGTAATTAATTAATTATTATCTGTTAGTTTAAATATGTGTGACTCCACCGTTTACAATCCACCGTCTCTCTCTTCTCCCTTTCGCGATCTCGTTCGCGTTCCCTCTCTCTTTCTCTTTCTCTCTTTCTACCTCTTCCTTTCTCTATTCCTCTTCCTCTCTCTTTCTCTTCTCACCTCTATTCGGAGTATACAACGTACACGTTGCCTAAACTACGAACACTTAGTACACTTAGTAGCATATTTATTTCCGTTAAATATTGATTGGATTTTGGGAAGGGGATGGGGGAGGATTTAGGGTCAACGAACGGCGGTCGTAGGATGGACGAAAAAAAAAAAAAAAAAA